GGATGGGTCACCCCTCCCTGCCTCGTCTCTGGGGCATGGCCTCTCGCCTTCTTGTCTCTGGCCTTCCCCGGTCCCTCCCCCCCCTTCCTCCGGGGCCTGGCCCTCCCTGTGTCCCCTGTGTCAAGGGTCGCCTGCGGGCTACCCCTCACTCCTCCCCGTTCCCTCCGACGGAGGCCCCGATGCAGACGCTTCACATGGACGTGTGGGGCCCAGCCCGCGTCCGTGGACAGGGTCACGAGCGCTACTTCCTGCTGGTGGTTGACGACTACTCGCGTTACACCACAGTCTTCCCCTTGCGCAGCAAGGGTGAGGTCACTGAGGTGTTGATCGGCTGGATCCGCGCAGCTCGTCTCCAGCTCAGGCGGAGCTTCGGCTCGGACTTTCCTGTTCTACGTCTGCATTCGGACAGAGGCGGAGAGTTCTCCTCCGGCCTTCTGCGAGCCTACTGTCGGGCACGCGGCATCCGCCAGACCTTCACGCTTCCGGACTCTCCACAGCAGAATGGGATTGCTGAGCGCCGCATCGGCATTGTCATGGACGTCGCCCGTACGTCCATGGTGCATGCGGCTGCCCCCCATTTTCTGTGGCCGTTTGCGGTTCCGTACGCCGCGCAACAGATCAACCTTCAGCCCAGAGTCTCCCGACCGGAGACCTCCCCAGCTTTGCTGTGGACGGGGAAGGTTTGCGATGCGTCGGCGTTCCGTGTCTGGGGATCTCGGGCGTTTGTCCGCGACTTGTCTGCGGACAAGCTGTCCCCTCGTGCTGCCCCCTGTGTCTTCCTTGGCTTCCCCACAGACGCTCCCGGGTGGCAGTTTTACCACCCCTCCTCTCGTCGTGTTCTGTCCTCCCAGGACGTCACGTTCGACGAGTCAGTCCCCTTCTACCGTCTCTTCCCCTACCGCACTCCTTCCCTCCCCCCTCCGCCGGACTTCCTTGTGCCAGTTCCCCCCCCGGTAGACCCCCTCCCCCCTCAGGTTCCTGCCCCCTCAGGTGTGTCCCAGGTAGACGCAGTTGACCCGGTCAAGGTTACTGGTGACTCTGGGGGTGCTGTGCGCGGGGGTGCCCAGCCTGGAGGTGCTACTACTGGGGGTGCTGAGCCTGGGGGTGCTGGGCCTGGGAGTGCTACTGCGGAGGGTGCTGAGCCTGGGGGTGCTGAGCCGGGGGGTACGGTGCCTGGAGCTGCTGAGCTAGGGGGTGCTGGGTCTGGGGGTGCTGGGTCGGGAGCTGCTGAGCCTAGGAGTACTGCGTCCGGAGCTGCTGAGCCTGGGGGTGCTACGTCTGGAGCTGTTGAGCCTGGGGTTTCTCCTGCTGCTGCGTCTCGCCGGGAGCCCCTCTCTCCACAGGAGCTGCGCGAGTGGTTTGCTCGCCGCTGGAGGCGTGCTGCTGGAGCCGGAGCTTCTTCGACCGTCGAGGGTGCTGGTGCTTCCGGTCCCGGAGCTATTGGGTCTGCGGGTACTCCTGGAGCAGGAGCTCCTGAAGGTGTTGGTGCTGAGACTACTGCTGTCTGTCCCGGCGGTGGTTCTGCTACTGGTGCTGCTGGAGGTCCTGCCGCTGGAGGTGTTGGTGGCGCTGGTGCTGTCGCTGAGGGTGCTGGTGCTGTCCGTGCTGAGTCTGGAGCTGCCGCGCGGCCTCGACCGTACTTCGTTCCGCTCCTGCAGCAGGTTCTTGGTCTTTCTCCTCCAGTAGAGTGTTCACAGCCTGTCCAGTCACAGTCACTGTTGGAGCCTTCCTCTCCACTGCCTGCTCCCTCTCCTTACACTGGTCCTACTGGAGGTCTTGCTGAGCGTCGTGAGCCTGCGTCTTGTCCTGCGTCGCCTGTTCGTGCTGCTCGCACTAGTGGTCGCGGTTCGCGTCAGCGTCCTCCTCCTGTCCCTGGCACGCACCGGATGTCTCTGCGTCCGCCCACTGCTCCTCTGCGTGCCCCTTTGCCTTCTCCTCCTGAGTCCTCTCTTCCTGCCCTTGCCGACCCGGAGTCGGACTCTCTTCGTGCTGCCAATCCTACTGTCTCGAGTCTGCTTGCTACTGTCGTCACTGACCCCTCTTTTGAGTCCACTGCTGCGTCTGCTCTTGTCGCTGAGCTCGTCGACTTTGCTGCTCGCTGTCATCTAGACTACGCTGCTAGTCTTGTTGCTGAGTCTGCGTCTGTCTGTCCTCCGTCCGTGGGGGGTGAGTGTGCTCTTGGCACGGACGTCCTAGAGGACAGGCAGGAGGAGTTACAGTGTCTGGCTGCTGCTTCACCTCATCTTGCGTTTGTACTGCTTGCTCCTGAAGGAGATCCGGATGCACTAGACATCCCGACTCCGCGCTCTTACGCGGAGGCGATAGAGGGTCCCTACTCGTCTCAGTGGCAGGCAGCTATGGATGCAGAGATGGCTTCCTACAAGTCCACAGACACCTACGTTGACGCAGTTCCCCCTCCTGGGGCGAACATCGTCAGTGGCATGTGGATCTTCAGGGTGAAGCGGCCGCCGGGCTCTCCACCTGTCTTCAAGGCGCGGTACGTTGCTCGTGGCTTCAGTCAGCGGCAGGGAGTTGACTACTTTCAGACCTTCTCTCCCACCCCGAAGATGACCACTCTTCGGGTGCTGCTGCACATAGCCGCTCAGCGCGACTACGAGCTTCACTCTCTCGACTTCAGCACTGCGTTCCTGCAGGGTAGCCTGCACGAGGAGATCTGGCTGCGCCGTCCACCTGGCTGCGCCGTCCACCTGGCTTCACTGGGACTTTCCCTCCTGGCACCCAGTGGAGCCTCCGACGGCCAGTCTACGGTCTCCGCCAGGCACCGCGTGAGTGGCACGACACACTGAGGACTACGCTTGCGGCTCTTGGGTTCGCTCCTTCTACTGCTGACCCCTCGCTGTTTCTGCGCACCGACACTTCTCTGCCGCCGTTCTACATCCTCGTGTACGTCGACGACTTGGTCTTTGCCACAGCGGACACCGCTGGACTCGCCTACGTGAAGTCCGAGCTGCTGAAGAGACACACGTGCACAGACCTGGGTGAACTGCGCAGCTACCTTGGCTTGCAGATCACTCGGGACAGAGCACGCCGCACCATTACCTTGACTCAGTCACACATGGTGCAGCAGGTCCTTCAGCGCTTCGGCTTCACGTACTCCTCGCCTCAGGCCACTCCTCTGTCTACTCGCCACTCGCTCTCAGCTCTGCCTTCGGATGAGTCCGTAGAGTCGAGTGGCCCGTACCCAGAGCTTGTTGGCTGCCTCATGTACCTGATGACCTGCACACGTCCTGACCTTGCATACCCTCTGAGCATTCTTGCACGCTATGTTGCTCCTGGGAGACACCGACCAGAGCACATGGCTGCAGCGAAGAGGGTGTTGCGCTACCTGTGCAGTACGTCGGGCATGGGGCTAGTGCTTGGAGGGCGGAGTCCAGTGGTCCTTACAGGGCACGCGGACGCTTCTTGGGCTGACGACCAGGCTACGCAGCGGTCGTCACAGGGTTACACCTTCAGTCTTGGTTCCGGCTCTGTCTCGTGGCGGGCTACTCGCTCGTCTTCGGTTCTCAGCTCCAGTTGTGAGGCTGAGATCTACGGTGGGGCCATGGCTGCACAGGAGCTTCGCTGGCTCACCTACCTGCTGACTGACCTTGGAGAGCCGCCTCGTTCTCCTCCAGTGCTGTACGTAGACAACAAGGCCATGCTGGCCTTGTGTCGAGAGCACCGTCTGGAGCACAGAACGAAGCACATTGCTCTTCGCTACTTCCTTGCTCGTGAGCTGCAGCAGCGTGGACAGTTGCGGCTTGCGTACGTGGCCTCTGAGGCCAACACTGCTGATGTGTTCACCAAGGCACTCGCGCCGTGTGACCATCAGCGCCTCTGCACCCAGCTGGGTCTTGTGCCTGTCTTGCCTCACTTGCTCTCCTCTTGACTTTACTTGTACTGTGACATATATATACATGCTCTTGCTTGTCTAGTTTTATATATATATGTCTGTACTCCTGCATGTGAACTGGCCTCTGGCCCTGCTCTTGTGCTCGGACTGTGTGGTGACGTTGTGATCCACCCTGAGCTTGCTCTGCTTTGCTTTACTTTACTGGTCTTGTGACCCCTTGTTCTCCCCCACTTTGCCTATGGGGGTGTGTCAGATTTATATGACATAGTTGCTGTAGGCTATAGTGGGGTAGCACATATGGGGTACAGGGTTTCTAGGGTTGTATTTGTACCCAATCTTTCCTTAGTCATTTCATTCCTGTTTACTTGTTTCACATGGCCGATCCTCGATTATAAGCGCCCCCCCTGGAAAACCATTTCTTATTGTAAGCGCCATGTGCGATTTTCATTTAAATATCAGTTTAAATCGATAACAAATTTCAGTTTCGCAGCGAGTCAAATTTCATTTTCGCTTTGTTTGACTTGTGAAGACCTGACTGTCTGCGCGTCGAGTCAGGATGCGCTTTCATACCTGCAAAGTGACGCGAATTTGCCCGTGTACAAGAAGCAGAATCGCTTGCGCGCAATTCTGCTTTGTGACGCAATAAGAGTCCGACTCGTTTGAAATGGCTACAACGAAAGGTACAATTTGGTATCTTTAAAGATAAAAATTGTATTTGTCATTATATAAGCGCCGGCGCTTATGGCCGCTCCTCAAATACAAGCGCCACCCTTGAAAAAAAATAACTTATTAAAAGCGCATATGCGCTTTTATCCGGGGCCATACGGTATGGCAAGACCACTCGGGCAATTATCATCGAACTGTCCGACCACGGTAGCAATTCAAGGCCACGTGTGCAACGGCAAATCACCGTTTCCAGGTCTGGAGAAATTCTTTCCACGATGCCGTGGGTAGGACTGTGCAGGGATCAGCCCAGTTGATGTGTCAACAGTAACCTTGAAAACCACCGTACTGTACCACTCCTTTCTATATAGTTTCCAGGCATAACCCTACGTGGAACACGTGTGTTTATGGCATTTTTAAGAATTCTCTCAAATGCTATGCTCCTCATTATCGGCTCGTTCGGCCTCTCCCTCCCCCGTGCATTCTAACCACTGAGCAGTGGGAGAAGGAAATCAGGAAGCGCAAGAAATGCATTCACACAAGGCTCGTCCCCCCATCCATGCTCCTCCATCCCCCCACACCCCACGCGCCTCTCATGCTCCTCCCGCACCATCTGCACCGCCCTTGCCATGAGGTGCGCCTTGAGGTGCGCCTTGAGGTGCGCCTTGGGGCTGGCCCTGGCTGCTTCCACCTCTGCTGGTTCTATCCCCCGCCGTGCCAGCCATCTCACTGCGTCCCGCTGCTCCTGGCTCGTTGCGCTATGCAGCGGCGTCCCTGGGAGAGTGGAGGGTGGATGACGGGAGGCGGTCGGATATAGGCAGGGGACGAAAGCAGCTTCGGAAGCAATGCGGGAGGACAGCAGGATGGAGAGGGTCAAGGTGAAGGCAGGAGAGCAAAGAAAGGACGCTGGGAGCAGAATGATGCAAGCAAAGCACTTTCAACCATTCTAGTGCAAGACCACTCACAGCCACCAGCCACTCACAGCCGCCAGCCACTCACAGCCGCCAGCAGTGCGAGCGCGGATGTCAGCCCCGTCCTCCACCAGCAGGCGCATGCAATCCACGTGGCCGCCATACGCCGCCACGTGCAGTGGCGTGGTGGCGTTGCGTGTGCTGCACACCCCCGCCCACATGCCCATGCGCAACAGTGCCTGAAGCTGCAGACACATGTATGGAGGAGCCGGGTGGAGAAAAAAGGGAGCCGGTCGATGTGAGCACGGAACACGGCTTCGCTGGGCCGTGTGCAGCAAACACAGGATGATGGAAGGTGGGGGTGTGTGTGAGCTGATGCACGAGTGCCAGTGGGAAGATGCATGCATGTGATGTGAGATGGGACTGACCATGGGGGAGTCACCATTGCGGGCAGGCACGTGCATGGCTGTCCACCCCCTCTCATCCACCACTCCACTCAATTCTCCTACTGACTCCACTCAGCCCCTCTGCTGACTCAACCCCGCATGCCGGCACCACACGCCACATGGCCTGCGCCTCCTCCTCCCCTCCACTCTCCCCATTAGTACCTTCCCCACCACCGTCCGCACTGCCATGCACACTATCACTCCCCCCAGCTCGCCCCGCCAGGAACGCCTTGATGTGGTAGTAGAGCTGCTTCGCTGTGACCGTGGGAGTGGCAGGCGCAGCGGCGGTTGTAGTCAGGACGGTGGGGGCATGAGGAGAGGCAGGAAAGAGGGAGGGTGACGGAGCGAGGGAGGGGGCGAGGGCGGGGGAAGGAGCGAGGGAGGGGGCGAGGGAGGGTGACGGAGCGAGGGAGGGGGCGAGGGAGGGTGACGGAGCGAGGGAGGGGGCGAGGGAGGGTGACGGAGCGAGGGAGGGGGCGAGGGAGGGTGACGGAGTGAGGGAGGGGGCGAAAGTGGGGGAAGGAGCGAGGGAGGGGACGATGGAGGGGGAAGGAGTGAGGGAGGGAGTGAGGGAGGAGATGCGGACAAGGGAGAGCGGCTGCGAGAAGCAGAAGTTGGGCGACTCGCTCTCTGCTGCCAGCGCCGCGGAGGAGGAGGGTGACGTTGCCGATGGCTGTTGTGAGCCTGCTGCTGTAGCTGCCTGGGGTTGCGATCCTGGGAGTGACACGGGCGGGGGCGCTGGTGGCTGGGCGCGTGACTGTGAGAGCGATGGCAGAAGGGGAGGTGGAGGAGGTGGTCGGTGCGCCAGTGTCTGGTCAAGGAGAAGGAAGTAGCGGCTGGCCCTGAGAGTGTGCAGCTGGGCGCAGCAACGAGGGGCGTGGGGGCGAGGGGAGAGGGGAGAGGGGAGAGGGTGGACGGCACGGGCACAAGAGCGAGGGAAGCGCTGTGGGCAATGGCATGGGAATGGGGAAGAGGGCAAGTGAGCACATGCGGACAACAGAGCAATGTGAGGGGGAAGGCAGGAACGTGTTCTGACAAGGTGCCCCTGACGTGTGCTCTCACGCTCACCTGCTCTACTTGCTCCTCGCTCAGCTGCCGTGCCAGCACGTCCTTTTCCGTACTCATCCTCTGCTTCAACGGAGGATGGGCAGGATGGGGAACACCGGGAAAGCGGTGAGGGGTGGAAGGAAGGGTGGGACAGTAGGCAAGCATGCCATGGTGGGTAGTGCTTTCTTGGGAGACAGCTGCCCACGTGTGGGGTTGGAGATCACAGTGGAGTGGAGAGGAGTGGAGAAAATTGGACTGGAGAGTGAAGTGGAGTGGAGTGGAGTGAGCACTGGAGTGGAGAAGAGTGGAGTTCAGTGGAGTGGAGTGAACAATGAGTGGAGTGAACAGTGAGTGGAGTGAACAGTGGAGTGGAGTGAACAGTGAATGGAGTGAACAGTGGAGTGGAGTGAACAGTGAATGGAGTGAACAGTGGAGTGGAGTGAACAGTGGAGTGGAGTGAACAGTGAGTGGAGTGAACACTGGAGTGGAGTGAACAGTGGATTGGTGTTGGCAGAGTTGCTCCACTCCAGGGATGCCATGCGTTGTGGGTGTGGACGAGCGTGGTGAGCCACCAGGCGAGCGTTGTGCTGTGGTGCACTAAGCTGCGCCGGATGGCGCACCTTATTGTGCTTGATTTTCACGGGCAACGGCACACCCAGCTGCGTCAGAAAGGGGGCGCGCAGGCATGCAGGCAACAGCGGCCAGAGCGCGAGGGGCGCTGTTGCGGTGGCGGGTTTAGGCTTTTTGCTCCGCGGTCCACCGAAGCTCTTCCATGCCGTCTCCGCCGCGCGCCGCTTGCTGCTGCTGTGCTCCATCAGGAAAAACGTATCTGAAGAGGGGAGGGGGGAGGGGGAGGAGGGCGACGCCGAGGGCGACGGAGAGGAAACGGGGACGTGGGATCACGAGGAGAGAGAGAAAACGGTGCGGGGCTGTTTTGGAGAAAGAGGGCGCAGCGCAGCTCATGTAGGGCTGGAGGCGAGTGACACGAGGGCGGGGGGGGAGGGGAGATGACAAGCAGCGCGTGGTGGGTTGAACAGACAGGGTTACGACGCGCTGCTGAGCAGGGGAGAGCACGGGCACCAGACCACTCACGCTAGCCCTGCACTCCAATGCTGTCCCGCCTCGCCTCTCCCGGCGCACCTTCCCCCCAGCACATGCACCCGCGCAACCATGGCTTGCCTCGCAGCTGAAGCGACTCGGCGGCGTCCGGCATGGGTATGAGGGTCAGGCGCATCTCGCCATTGATGCGCATCACGCAGCGATGGAGCATGGCTCGCTGGGCCGCTAATGGCGAGTATCATGGACTGCTACTGCCGCCTGTTTCTGACGCTTCAAATCTGCATCATTTGGATGACGTGTCGAAAAAATGTGCTGTTTGGCTTGTCACACATCAAGGAGTTGTTGGAGAATCGAGTCTCTGCCGCCCCAGCCCTTTGCACACAAGGAGAAGCAAGAATGTCGGCGACGGATTGAAGGCTTCGCGAAAATTCAGAAACTTCCGCAGCAAATCAGATTGCAGCCGAAGACTCGATACAGTTCGGGATTGCTCTCAAACAGAAGGGTCGACTGTTTCTACAGGTTTCTACAAAACAGAATCAGCTATAACAGTACATTCCAGAGATTTCTTATTCATGCACCTCATGTGGCTCTCAAGTCACTCAAGGTTCATGGAATCTGAATTGTGCCCAAGTTCCCAAGGAAGTTGCCTTGTCTAGCAGCCTAGTTTGAGCTATCAATCTGCATGTTTGTAATGCTTAAGAAGTTGTGCTTTAGTGGGCTTGTTAATCTTGATCATAGTGAAGTTTTCTCTCATCAAGCCAAGTCCAGCCGCTCTGTTGAGCTTTTCCAGCCAAGTTTCCAGCCTACCAGTCATCAAAGCTACTCTGTTTTGCAAGTTGGTATCAGAGCCCGTCGTTTCGATCAACCGAGCGCCACCACCTTCCTATCCTAGCACAATCCATCCATGGCGGGAGACAACCCATCTGGCCCTGCACTCCAGCCAGCCGGAGGAGCTTCAGAGTCAACATCAGGAGCTACTGGATTAGTGGAAGTAGTTGCACCAGACAGTTCTTCAACTACATACTCACCACTCACCTCCTTCATGCCTAAGCTTCACCTCCCCAAGTTCAACGGCAAAGATTTTCCAACATGGGCAACTCAGTTTGAGCTCACTACATCCCTTCTGGATCTCTGGCCTTACTACACTGGAGAAGCAGCCAAACCAGCAGCAGATGCTTCAGAAGCTGAAAAACGACTCTACGAACGGCGCAACAAGGAGGCCTTCCTCTACCTACTCAATAGCATTCACGAGCAGCAGTTGAAGTCGCTCCTACTCTGCTCTACAAAGGCAAACAGCGCAGAGGAAGCATGGAGCCGACTGAAGTCTATGCACCAGTCAAAATCCGAGAGCAGCCAGGCCGAGATGTGGAGCCGCTTCATGAGTCTCAAGATGGAAGAAGAAGAACCAGCCCAAACCTACCTTCAACGAGCTGAAACGATGCTAGAGGAAGCAGCCGCGATCGGCTTGGAGATTCCAGAGTCTCTTTTCAAGACTGTCATCCTCACCGGCCTTACACCGGAGTGGGACACTTTCCATGCAACACTACAAGCACTTCCGCAATCAATGAAGACCCGTGCGTTCATCTTCGAAGCCCTTGTCAACGAGCAGCAAAGTCGAGACCTTGCACGAAACAAGCGGAGTGACGAGGGTGCGTGGAGTGCTGCAGCAGCTACAAGATATGGCAACCAATCCCTGAGGCAAGGAAATTTCAGCCCAAACCGCCCTCAACCTTACTATGGTACGAATTTTCAGTCACCTTCCAACCCATACAAACCCTCTCGTTTTGCTCAGTCAAGTCCTCCCTATAAGTCAAGTCCCTATGTCCAGCCAAGGCCTTCTATTCCCAATCAATATCAGCCTAGGAATGCATGAGTCTATACGCCAAGAGTCAATAATTTCAGCCAAGCCTCAAATGCTAAAACGTTTAATTTCGAGTGTTTTTGTTGTCATGAGTGGGGTCATCCGTGGTATGCTTGTCCTAAGAAGCCTCCTAATTGGGTTCCCCCACCTCAGCTACTATCCGAAAAGGGTAAGGCAGCCATAGCAAACATGGCAAGTCAATCTACAAGTCAAAATGAGTCCAAAGATTCTGAAGGTCCTGTCCTTTTCAACGCCGCCACTTGCATGCACGTTTTTTCTACTAGTAGTGAGGAGTTTATCCTTGATAGTGGCTGTTCTGAAACCATGACTCCTTATCAGTCCATTCTCAAGGATTTTCAGCCCTCATATGACTCAAAAGCTGTGACACTTGCTGATCTTGGCAAAGTACCTATCAAAGGAGTCGGCAAGCTTGAGTTCGAAATGGATGGTAAGTCATTTTGTGTCAATAAAGCTTTGTTTGTTCCTGATTTGGGAGCAAACTTGCTCTCAGCTGGACAACTTGAAGAGAAAGGTGCCTCTGTACTATTGCAAGGGGGGAAAGCCAAAGTGTGGGACAGTGCAAGAAATTTGGTGGCTGAAGGCGAGCGTACCGGGCGGCTCTACAAGATGAAGTTGGAGATCAAGCGCGGTTCTAACAATACGAAGAACGACGTTGTCTCGCTTCCCGCTGTTTCAACCAACAAAGGGAGTATCTCCCAAGCTGAGGTATGGCATGCACGCTTGGGGCACTTGGGAATGCAAGCATTGAAAGAGTTGGTGAATCACAAGAGCGTGGAAGGATTGAGTTTGAGTGAAATTGCAGTCAAGTCCCTTTCTTCCGTTCCATGTCCATCTTGTGTTGAGGGTAAGCTAGCTAGAAAGCCATTTTTCCCTTCTAAGTCTCAGTCAAGGGACCTCCTAGAGTTGGTCCACACTGATGTATTTGGCCCCATGCGAGACCCTACTCGAAAAGGTAAGAGATATTTGGTGTCTTTCATTGATGACAAGAGTCGTTTCTCGTGGTCATTTTTCATCAACACCAAGGATGAAGTTCACAAGTGTTTCAAGCAATGGCTAGCACTTGTTGAGAGAGAGTCAGGGAAGAAGTTACTCACCTTGAGGTCGGACCGAGGAGGTGAGTACATGGGAAAAGCATTTCAGGGGGAGTTGTTGGCATTGGGCATCAAACAACAGTTCACTTGTCCCTATAGTCCTCAGCAAAATGGAGTTGCAGAGAGGTTTCATTGCACTATTCAAGCAATAGCTACCACTTTTCTTCAGTTTAAGGGCCTTGACAAGCTCTGGTGGGGTGAGGCAATCACTATGGCAATCTATGTTCGCAACAGGAGACCCACAAGGCCCCTACCGGATGGTGTAACACCATATGAGGCTTGGTTTGGAGTTAAACCAGATCTGTCTATGCTTCGTGTTTTTGGTTCCATGACCCAATACCGTGTTCCAGATGCAAAGAGAGTCAAGCTGGACAACAGAGCTCATTGGGGCCTCTTCATCGGCATGAGCAACGAGAGCAAGGGATGGGTCCTTTGGGATCCCGTCACCAAGCGAGAAGTGGTTTCAAGGGATGTGGTCTTCTATGAAGACATGTCCCTTGCAGATTGGCACAAGTTTTCCTCTTCCTCCTCTCTACCACCCTCTCTCCAACAGGAACCAGCAAGAGCACCTGAGGAAACAACACAAGAGGAGGACGGAGATGACACCAATTCTGACCATAGCGGACCCATCATCGATCTCCCGCAAGCCGTCGTCAACGAGACCAGCTGCGCCACACCAGTGCCACCAGCAGCTACTCAACCAAGTGGAGATGTGGTTCAGCCATCAAATGAAGACAATCCACCCCAAGAAGTCACCGTTACATCACTGCCAAAGGAGCGGCAGCCAACCGTCACCAACCAGCCAGCTACTTCAACACCAACCCCGCAAGTTCAACGTCACCCGGATCAGCCCACCACTACACCATCAAACCCATCACCAGCCGTCAATTCAGAGGCAACTACAGAAGCTCACCATCATCCAATGCAGCAGCAACCTACAGCTACAAGATGTCAGAACATTATAGCTTACTCTTTTATGTAGGCTATAGTGGGGTATCCCATAGGGGGTACAACCCAATTAGGGTTTCATATTAGTACTCACTTCATTTCATACTGCACTCATTCTCGTTCTTTCTTTCACATGGAATCAGAGCAGGTCCCATCCTAGGGGCTGTTCTTTAGGGCCCACCGAAGCGCGCCCGAGGCGCGCGCCTTTTTTTTTTTTTTTTAGCGACCCTCCGAGTCGCCCTTTTCCTTCGCGGCCCCGCCGCCCTACTTCGCGGCCCGACCGCCGCCCTACTCGCGGCCCAGCCGCCGCCATACCTTAGCGGCCCATCTGCCGCCCTTGCTAGCGACCCCGCCGTCCCGTCGCGGCCCCACCACCCAGTCGCGGCCCCACTGCCCCTACGCGCGGCCCCGCCACTCCGTAGCGGCCCCGCCACCCCTTCGAGCGGCCCCGCCCCTTCGTCGCGGCCCCGCCACTCTGTCGCGGCCCCGCCACTCCGTCGCGGCCCCGCCACCCCCTTTGAGCGGCCTCGCCACTCCGTCGCGGCCCCGCCACCCAGTCGCGGCCGCGCCACCTCTTCGCGCGGCCCCGCCACTTCGTCGCGGCCCCGCCACTCCTTCGAGCGGCCCCGCCACTCTGTCGCGGCCCACCCGCCGCTCTACCTGCGGCCTCCCCGCCGCCCTACCTGCGGCCGTCCGCCACCCTACCTGCGGTCGTCCCGCCGCCCTACCTGCGGCCTACCCGCGGCCCTACATGCGGCCCGCCCGGCCGCCCTACCTACGCTGCCCAGTAGAAGCCGAGCCGCTCGGAGCAGCCGGGCCGCCCAGGAGCCACCGAGCCGCCCCGCAGCAGCCGAGCCGCCCAGCAGCAGCCCAGCCGCCCGGGGCCGCCGAGCCGCCCAGCAGCAGCCGAGCCGCTCGGAGCCGCCGAGCCGCCCAGCAGCAGCCGAGCCGCCCAGGAGCCGCCGAGCCGCCCAGCAGCAGCCGAGCCGCACGGCAGCAGCCGAGCCGTCCGGGAGCCGAGCCGCCCAGCAGCCTAGCGGCCGTGTCGCCGAGCGACCTTCCTCCCGAGCCGCCCGACCTGCCCTGCGCGGTGAGCACTGCACTGCTGTCACTGCGTACCCTTTCCCTACTGCTTGCACTGCGCCACTGTCGTCGTCATGGCTACACCCAGTGTCCTCGCTTTTGACGCTGAGGGTCGAGCCATTGACTTTGAGGTCTGGCTCGACGACCTGCAGCTGTTTTTACAGTGCGACA